TGTGTGTGTGTGTGTGTGTGTGGGTGTGTGCGTGCGTGTGCGTGTCCTTGTGGGTGTGTGTTTCCTTGTGCGTGTGCGTGTGCGTGTTTGTGTTTGTATTTCTGCGAGCGTGTGGTTGGGTGGTTAGATATTATTAATATATATACATCTGTGATTGAAGGCCAAAAATACCATCAAAGTGGAACTTGCTGAAGGCTATGTCAAACGGGAAATATTTTTTTCTTTCTAAGATTGTTGCTTGTTAAAATTGTGTCAGGATGCAAGAGCTGTCACGCACCTGTCGCATGATCGAAGCGTCTATTTAGTACATGTTTATATCAAAATATATTCACATAGTGACACTTTATACTGCATTTCTCTAATACAGACAAACCAAAGGTTCGGTTAATTTTTTACTTCTGGAAATCGAATTGCTCGACTCCTAGATGTGTATACACGTCTATACTAGATAATTTCTCATAAGTAGCGTGCAAGTCATTCACTATTATATTCACACAATGACATTTATAATGCATATTTTAGGATTCCTCTAATACAGACGTACATAAAGGTTCGGCAATTTTTTTACTTCTGGAAACTGAATTGCTCGACTCCTAGATGTATACCCACGTTTATTCTAGATAATTTCTCATACGCAGTGTGCAAGTCGTTCACTATTGTATTCACATAGTGACATTTATACTGCATCTTGTAGGATTCCTCTGATACAGACATACATGAAGGTTCGGTTTATTATCACTTCTGAAACCCGAATTGCTCGACTCCTAGATGTATATACACGTCTTTTCTAGATAGTTTATCGTACGCACCGTGCAAGTCATTCAATCCTACACGTGTCTACACGTTCTTCTAGACAGTTCAAGTCACTCACTGTGTATTTATTGTTTCTGAAGAGATTCTTGTAAACTGTGTACAGGTATGTGTGTCGGCGAAACTTTGTTCACAAAGTGTAAGCACGGAACGTACGCGGGGTTGCGCGAAAGCTCAGCTTCACGGCCTTCAACCTCTGACTCGCGCGTTTTGAGAACACCTGAGGTCAAAAAACAAACAAACTCCACAATGATGCAATAAATTATTTGACGCCATAACTTATGAAGGACATGGATTCAAAAAAAAAAATTGCACATAGGCGCAACTGGCAGGTAAAATAGCATATACGGATCACATAGTGGTATTTCTGTACGAACATACAGTCAACACTCGACCCGGTACAGTGAATACCAAACAGTCGTACTAAATACTAGAGGGACTCTCTTTCAGACTTCAGTACAGGCCTCAGGCTACCAGAGTACCAGGCAGATGTCGTATTTTTAATTCGTAAGCACCTTCTTTTACAATTTAGATAATTTTTTGGTAGATTATGATTGGCCGATTACCGGCAGCCCCTGGCATATACTCTATTCTCATTCGTTATCATAATTTTATCAAAATTACATGTACGTACGCTACCCAGTGAGTCAGCGCAGTCCCAACACGCGAAATTTCGGCATTCGAAAGTCGACAGAAACGCCACAGGTTTTGCGCCGTCACTGATCCAAAATTGATAAGAGTTGCAAGCACACTTGAACTTCCTCTAATTCCCACCTGTAGTGTTAGTTATTAGCTCACAATGGTTGCCACACAACACGCTTCGCCCATGGCGGCTGGTGTTCTTAAGAACCTTGAGAGTGGTCTGGCACCTGCTAAGGCTGCTCCCCCAGTACGGCCTACAAAACCCTCTACCGAAATAATGAAACAACTAGAACAGGCCAAGGCCAATTCCCAGGCCAACTCGCCCGCCCCTAAAAGGCCACCTCTGCCCAAAGAGACATCAGCGCTAGTAGAGCCGGTCAAAGCCACCTCACAGCCAAATTCGCAAGCACCAAAGAGACCTCCTTTGCCAAAGGAGATGCAGAAGATCAAGGAGAGAATAAACACTCACGAAGAGAAGGTTGGCGATGTAGGTTCAGCCCAGAAGGAGGCCGACATCAGCCAACCTGCTCATCGATTTCTGGTGTCGATGCAAGGTATTTGTAGCATTTTTTGCGCTTTAAAGTAGTTTATATACTGATCGCAGCTTATTACGGAGTTATTGTTTGAATATTGCGTATATTTGTGCGATAGAAGATAATATGCTGTCTACGGATTGAAATTGTGCGTATTCAAGCAAGGTCATTAATTATGGTAGCCTAACTCGCCAGCATACTTTACATACCTATCATTACACACTCATCAGTACACTTATCTAATTCTGGCTATAGCTAAAGAAAGCACGATTCTACACTCACTTGAAACTCTCTAATGCTCGCTAGTCGGCCATACTCTGATCTCTAACGTTCGGTAGCATATGTTTCCACGCATGTGAATCTATCGAAGGGCACAGACCTATACAGCCATATAGTCATCATATAGTCAGCACAACACAGAGTCTTATCGTGTTTATCGCCTGATTTTTATGGCCAGGCCATGGATACCCCTGGTCACTCGTTACGGAGCCAATGGTAGGGCAGCCCCAAGCAGCCTCATCTGAACACGCTGAGGTCGTGACTCTGCCCGTCGAAGCTTCGAATACCGGCCCTGCCAAAGATATCACATCTTCACCTGTGGTGTTGACGCAAGAGAGATTAGCTGGCACGGTAGATGTACCCGCCTATAGATTTATCAGCACAATGGCCGGTCACTATGGCTTCCCGCAGACTCATGCTGTTGTAGGCGCTCAGATAAAAAGGAAGGAACAGCATGTTCACAAAGATAGCCAGATGGCCAAATTATTCACATCCATGAGTATCAAAACCAAGACGTTTGTCAATTCCGTGATGACGCACAAGCCTACAAAGGCCGGTAAGAACAAGCAGGCACGGAATACCGATGCAGTTGTACCAGCGTACCGTTTCCTTACCTCTATGCAAGGCTATGGATATCCGATCACTCACACAGTCATGCCTGTTGTCCCGAAGACTGCCGTGGCTGATACTGCTACCCAGAATGATCTCGTTGTTCCCGCTTACAGGTATGTGACAATTTTAACTGTCATTTAACACTACTCGTGGTCTTTACTTGGTATGCCATGCTTCAGGTTTGTGACTTCCAAACATGCTCCTTCGATGCAAGAAGCACAGGTGCCCTGACTATATCCTACCATATGTAAATATCTGATGAAGGGCTAAATCGTTTAAAATGGCGAATCAATACCATTTTGAATAAGCACAAGACTATCTGCATGAACAAATATCATGCATGAATAAATATAATACTATCTGTCTAAAACCGAATGTTCGCTACACAGGTTCATGACTAGTATGCAAGGCCATGGCTATCCCTACACTCCCGCCATGTCTCCCAAGGAAGCTGCTAAAGCAAAAAGGTCATTCATGGAATCCGTGATGGGTGGTGCCACACACTTGATTAATTCCATCAAGTCATCAACCAAGTCGGCAAAAACGGCATTGCCCTCCACTGACAAGGTAGACGACGGTAATAAAAAGAGTGGACCAGCTGTGCCGGCATACCGGTTCATGACCTCTATGCAAGGTCATGGATATCCTGTCACAAACATGGCCTCACGCAGCAGCTCTTTGACGGCCAAGAAGCAACCACCAGCGAAGCGCAAGTCCATTATGCAGGAATTCATGGGCAAGTTAACTGATGTCAAGGGTGGCAACCACAAAATCGCTAAAGTGCTAGAACCAGTCGAGATTCCTGCATACAGGTACGTACCCCATTATATGATGATAAACTTAACTGAAACGAGGTTAAGGCAGCCAATAGTGCACAACAAAATCTTCTAATTTACAAGATTTGTATAATAAAGAAAACTGCTAATCCGTTTTTTTATTACCACGATACATATTTCAGGTTCATGACCTCCATGCAAGGCTACGGGTACCCAGTTGTACCCCGTTCTCCAACGGCTGAAAAGCCGCCTACTCGACCAAACGGTCACCCAGCCCCATTCAAGGTTTCCATAGACAAAGTGTGTGTAGAAGCACATAAGGAGGCGGAGGGAGAGAGCTCTAAGAAGGATATAGAAACTCAGCAGTTGGCTAAGAACAAGCCGCAGCGCCCAAAATCGCTCGAGAAACAGAACGGATTCATGAAGTTCTTCAAAAAATTGACGACGAAGACCACTAAGCCTGCGAGTGCAAAGGCCAGCAAAGAGAGTCTACATGAGTCTGCAGAGCACAAGAACAAGAGCAAGGGAAAGGCAAAGGGCAAAGAAGCGGAGCAGACTGTTGAGGCTCCCAAACCACAGGAAGAAATTACTGATAAGGAAGACACGGTTGTTGAGGACAAGATTGAGACGCCCAAGACTGAGTAAGAAAGGTACATTTTGTTGTTAGAATAGACGCTAAGGATGCAAGATCCTCTGATATTTTTTAGGGTGATGTGAGGTAATTATGGCTGGCAAAGGTATTGGTGCTCGAAGGACCCATGCCCCCCTTCCGACTCACATTCCTATCCGGTGGCTTGGATTATTTTACACTATTTCGAGATAACTCCATCGCGTCCTGTACTGATAATTAGTCGCAAGAGCCACTGCTTATATCCACACGGTGCCTAGTCGTTGGCCATGAGCATATCTAGAATGGCTCCGTCTCGACCCACAGTACCAAGCTTAGCGATCGAAGTACGATCCTGGCATATACATACGTATCATGGAAGTCCGAACAAATTTGCAGAGGAGGGCTGTCTTGCTGGTAGCAACAACACGCCCTATAATAAATATATAAGTAAAACCTTAATAGTAATCCCGCTATATAGCCTATGCACCTTGTGTATCCTAGTCGCTGACTATCGTTACGTATACAGTATGTCTGTCAGATCCTATTCATTTTTCTGTTAAGCAAACCTAGCTTGTGATGCACTCCCAGACACTAGGTATCGAATAGCAAGAATGTGCACTCAAAGTGAGCGCCACATCACCGTACAGTCGAATGTCGCTGCCAAAATAAAAGAAGAACTGCAGTATGATAGCCAACTTGCATAAATGTCTCCAAGGATGTGTACACTCTAAAGAGAGTTAAGAACAAATTCACTTATCAGTAAAACACTAACCAATGCTACAATATTGCGTGAAATACAAC